CAGCTCCGCTGGCTGAATGGATGCACTCGTTTAAACCCGGAGAACAGTCAGAGAAGTGGGTCCCAGATATGATGGAGGTGATTCACTCCCACCACTTAATTGGCCAAAAATAAGACCAGCTGGCTCAAACGAGCTTTCTAAAACCTCCCGTGACTGGACAAATAATAGAAGACTTAAAACCCCAGTTTGATGTTTTGGAAACTCCTAACTTAACCCAGTTAACAACTATTAAACAAAAGACTGGTGAGTCCATAGATGATTCCCATGCCAGATACGCAGAAAAGATCATCCAGGGACAAATTAAAGAGCCCCCCCCCCCCCCCCCCCCCCCCCCCCCCCCGATCAGCCCCACAAAGCATCCCAGACAGGAAGGGAAATAGGAGGAGGAATTCTAAACAGAGGCAGAGGTACAATTGACAGGCCCGATCACAGCAGTCCATTTACTGGACCTGTGAAGGTCGAGGTCACTTCTCACGCGATTGCCCCTCAAATTAAACTAGATCCTTGCAATTTATTATTTTAACATAATTATTAAAATAAACAAATACCCCTTTTCAGTATTTCTGCTCTTCCTAGCTTGATTTGCTTTCACCTACGGAATTTAGAGTTCAACTTGCAAAAGTTGCACCTCACAAAATCTCACTATTGCCTAAACAATCAATAATAATAATAATAATTGTCTAGCGGACTTTCAATGTTCAGCAAATTCACAAATTCTTGTTTATGTGGATGACAATTTGGTTGCTTCAGACGATGCTGAGTCCTGCCTCAAAGACTCTCTCGCTCTGCTGCAGCATCTCCGCAAAACAGGAAACAAAGTCAGTAAAAAGAATCTACAATGGGTAAAGAAATTTCTAGTCCGGTATTTTGGGACACACTGCTGTCAGGTGAAGGCAGATCCAGTCAGGGACCATGTTGACTGCCCCGACACCCCGAATACGGAACAGATCACACAGTTTTTAGACCTTCCTAAGTAGTCCCCCAATGCAGAAATGTCCCAGTCCTTTGCACATTTCTCTTTTTTGCTGGATTTGACCCCGAGTTACAGAATTAGAGGGGAAATTATTGTAAAATTATGATTTTGTGTTAATGTGGTACAAAACCTCATGAATAGCTTCTGCTTAGTATGATGTAGAACTGTAAAAAAAGGTGCCTTACTGCCATTTTAAAATGACAAACTATTTTGCCCCTTTTAACTGAGACAGCCTTTGTACAATTCTGACACAGCTCTGGTTTTGCCAGACTCGAGTTCCACAGGTTAGCTGTGAGGCGGCTGATCTGAGTCCAAAGATGCCTTTTGCTCATGGACTTAGTTTAACAATGCAACTTTGACTCAAGATGGTCTCTGTTTTCACTTGGTAAGGCTGTTCCTTTATGGAATGATGCAAATTACTGGTGTAGGTTAGACTAATATATCATGGAACATGAGTTAATGGGTATACTGAACCATAATTCTAGCCCACTAATGGGTTACCTTACTCAGGTTTTTTGTTATGACATTGTGTTTGTTTTTATTATTTTATCTTTTGCTGTCCCAACAAATACGCTCAGGGGGAATGTCCAGTATTTTGACCTCACATGTATGTGTGGTCTTGATTCTAGCTTAGGATGATACCGGGTGGACTGTGATGGTAAATTTCTGGTGAATTTCGGCCCCATTGGGGGTCCAAACTGGACTGGTCAAAAAGTATATTGGATGGTTGTTGCTGAAGATGTCAAAAAGCCACAGTGAACTTGCAGATCCTTGTGTGCTTTCTCGCCACAGACCGTGAAACCAAGGATATTGGGGATGCACGTGCTTCTACCAAGATGAGGCGTCAAGGTCACTCATCTTATCCCTCCCGCTGCTGCATACTGCTGAGAGGGCCACTATGACTGACCATCCTCATGCGGGCTCACCGAGGACGGCAGATAAGTAAACGATGTGCCTTAAGCTTGCAGGGCCGATCCACCATGTCGCTGCTGATGTTTGGGGATCGCACTTTGCCCTGAAACCGCCCCTCAACATCTGATGGAACGAGAGGAAACAGCAGCAGTTGGGAGGAACAACGGAAACAACATCTGGTGGTTGAGACCCCTCCTGGGTCCGTCCACACGACGCTGTGACCTGCCTCCAACGATGTCAAGATCCAGTACCCCAAATCTCTCGTCTGGTTTCAAGGCTCCCTGCCCAAAAAGACATCCCCTCACCGTCCCCACCATCACTGAATCCCAGGTTGCTATGACATCATCACAGTTGCTGGCACACGCCTTTTGCTCGAGTTGGCTCTCTCCTGCCACACACCTGGTGTGGCACACACGTGCAGACTGGCACACTGACCCCGCCTCATATGAGCGACGAAAGCCGCGCCCCTCACGACGACGATCCCAAAGGACACTTCTGCATCACCTTTCCCCGTACAACACCATCCTGAAGAAGGCATTGTTTTGCTCAAACTACAGTTTCCAGTCCACGGACAAGCCCTTTGACCTCAGCTCTGCCACAGTTAGAGCTGCGTACATTAACATTTTACATTAACTTTCCCCCTCTAGCAACTTCCTGAAATCCAACGAATCGACTGGAGGATCCTGGAGTTTTATGAGTTGGCTGGTATCTGGTAACTGGTATCAGCTCTTGTTAAAGTTTCTTGCACCTGTTTTTGTTATCCTGGTCATGATTTGCTTAGTTTTAGGCTGTGTAATCCCATGCTTGAAGAATATGGTAAGCAAACTGATGACAAATGCCTTGGTCCAATGCATGCTCCTAAGGCAAAGAGAGGAGCTTGAAGAAGATGAATACATTGCCTGATAGAGTTGGTTTCATTGTGATTTCAACGATGAAAATTACAGTTCCTGTAACCGTTGTTGATTGTTCTTGTTATCAGCTCAGATTTTATTATCCTTTAGGTTATTAGCTTAATCTTTAATTTAGCTTAATCAGTGTAATCATTGTTATCATCATTTTAGAATGAAGTTGATCTTGTTTTTTATTAATCATCCAGTTTAAATTCATTTTAAAACAGGTTGTTACCTATTTTACAGCTTTTTTGAAGATCACTAACTATTTTGTGATCTTTTGGTGTGTTAGAGGTTGATTTTAATACTACATACATATTTACCTTGATTGTAGTCTTGTTCTTATAATTTTTTTATTTTGCTGATCATAAACTGTCTCCACAGGGAGGAGTGTTGATTAGAATGACCTCTGTTTAAAACAGGGAGGAAATGATGGATATAACAGATTTTGATGTCACAGGGTTCTTGATGTAACAGTGTAGGTGTTTGTTTGAACAGAGGGTCATCAACTTTGATCACGTTTTAGAGTGGTGAAGAATGACCTCTTTGATCACCCTCCTGTTATCTGTAACTTCCTGAGACAAGATGACGGTCCAACAATCTGTTGATTAGGTTACCCCGGTCAGCTGGTTCTGAAGAATTGTGTGTGTGGGTTATCTGTAACTTCTGGGTGTGCCTTCCTAAATAAAAGGAGCTCCAAGGCTTTGCCTGAGTGTGAGAGCAAACTGACCTCTGTCTCTGGTGTATTTGATTTCTCTCACCCTTTGCAAAGTATTTGTTGTTGTTTGTTGTTGGCAGGATTACAATTTACCAAATTATCAATCTAATCCCTCTGTGTGTGCTCTGAGCTTTCTTTTGAGGTAATATGGGAGTAATATTAAAATTACCCAACAATTAGCAAAAATTAAAACTGGTGTGTAGTTTATAATCTGCATTTTAAACATAAAATTGAAATTGAAAGTCAGAGAGGAGGAGTCTTGCTTCTGCGGCGTCCCAAAGGTGTGTTTTCATTGGTTGGTTGAAGATAGGAGTTGTAGGTTTTCAAGCAGTGCTTGAAGATTGTTGGAGGCTGAGTTTGGTCATGAGACACTCTAAAAGCTAGTGCAGAACGGGTTACAGTAGCCTGGCCAGCCAGACCCCTCCTTTTGGGAAGCATGGGCCTGGGAACTCTCCTATTCAAAAAACCCTGATAATTCTAACCGAGCCAATCACCAGCGTGCGTCACACACCTTAACGCTCAGTTTCTCATAAACAATGAAGCAGCTATTTCCTCTGTTCTAAATGACTTGAACATGTCTTTAAAACCACGACAAGAAGAAAGCCATTGTTCTTAGGAAAGATGTTGCACCGTCGCTAGGTGCCATTTTTGAATGGAGGAAAACGCGTCACCTTCCTTATAAGGATCTAAAGTCTTTTAATTTCATCCTGACATATGGTGAAGATACTGGTGAGCATACTTACTTCTATTTATTTCTGTTGTTATATTTTTATGCTACTTTCTTATTTCTACCTAATTTTCATGTGACAGATTGTTGCTATTATGTTTTATGAGTGCTGTGTTAAGCACTTTATGGTGGCCTGCAGTTAGCTGGAAATTGCTCTACAAATACAATCATGATGCTAGAATAGAATAGAATAGAATAGAATAGAAAAGCTTGTTGTTGCACCACTTGCACTATTTAAAAACTTTATTATATGATATTTTCATCAGAATTTATTCTGGGGTATAACTCATATCCATCAAGTGTCAAATCCATTTGCTGTATAATGCATTAGATGCATACATAACAGTATGTCTGCCTATTTTGCGTCAACAAAGAAATCTGGTTAGGTGGAAATGGGCATGGCCAATATAAAAGGGATTCAAAAATCATCCACAGATCAAGAAGATATAAGGTTGATGAGTGTGTTAGGGTTATCGAGTGTTCATTGGTTAGAAAAGTGGTAGCACACTCCCTTGGTTGAGCCAGGCGTTGTGTATAACATGTTTTGCTGGAGTAAAGCTACAATGGCAAAGTTGGAAAACAAATTAGATTAAAAACCTCCACCAATAACACGTTTTGAGCTTAAAGCAATGATCTGGTTGTCGGTTTCACTGAACCACCATCAAAATTCCTTAATTACTACTGTTCAAAATAACAATTTGACCATTTGTAAGCAGAGGATGTCAAGTGTGAAAAGCATTGTCATAGAGGAGGCTGCAGATGCACATCCAGGACACCAGATGGCAGTATAAGCTTTATTGAGTTGCCAATGGGCTGTGCATAAACATTAGAAATTCACAGAGGCCACTTTGGAAACAGGGAGGATATTATAAATATAATAATACACACAATAACTCGTTGTAAAGGTATTTTTTATGAAAATAAACAAAAAAGTAGTCGTGCATGCCGTCCAGAAGACAAATATCCAGGTAACTAAAACACCAGATGTATTTACATATAAACACCACTGGTACTGTCAGCATGCCTCGGTCACCACGTGAGATAAAGCCTGCAGCTTGATCCGTGACAAATACGAGGCAGCAGCAGACACAGAGTCACCAGACAACACTTGTGTTAAACAAAGGCTGATGAATTCATCCAACACCTCTCCACAGAACACTGTTGCTGTGAAAATGTTTTCCTGTGAATCACAACGCCATCGCCTGCTTTAAAAAGGAGTTTCACTCACAGATACACATTAAACAACTGTGAAAAATACAGAGCTGGTCGGATAAACTAACTCATAGCACATTAAGAGAAGCCCAAACGGCACAGTGATGAGCAAACACCCCCGTCCTGTAGCTGAGAACAGCCCCACCAACAGCTCACGCGCACCACCGGCCAATTATCTCGTCACACTGAGTCGTCCGCAGACGGCCTGGTGACAGTCAGATCGATACGTTTAAACCCTCCAACGGTATATTGAGACCACCCGGAAATCTTTGGAAGCATCTGGGAAAACATTATTGCAGAGGAGAGGTATGTGCGCTGTGAGACAGATGGTCATTACCCGTGGAGTTTTAATGTCAGGACGTAATGAAAAGAACTGACAGAATTTAATAAAAAAAAGCAAGCAGTCCTGACGTGAAGGACGGTACGGGAGTCCAAATGCAGAATAATTAAATCCCTTTCATCTCACCACACCCATGAGCAGGAGTCCGTTCCTGATGCACGAGATATCTGCATCTTAAACAAGTGAATATGTATAAATAATTCTCAAAAGTTCTGCTTTTTGATCTCTGTAAGTGACCCCTGTTGGAGATGTTGTCATGAACTATGAACCCATTTATTAACACAAGGTGAGTAAGAATGAGTTCATCATGCAGGAAAACTTCAGAGCATGCGATGAAACATCTCCCAGTTTTCTGGCAGCATGTGCAGCATCAGCACTGAGAACCAGTTCATTCCTGCAGGGTGGAACCGGGCAGCTCGTTGGTCAGGGTATGCCAGCGCTCCACCTTCTTGCCCTTATTCTTCAGGCAGTCTATCCAGTGTTGCAGGGTTTCTCCCTGTGAGTGGCACCCAAGGGACACTCCCCCTAACAGAATAGAAACAAAGACCAAGCACGCTTATGTAGACAAAAACAAAAAAAAAAAACAAATATGGTGATTTTTTTTTGGTTTTAGGGTTTCAGTTTGCTTGTCAATTTTCCAATAATTTCACTTCTGTTCTCCTCCCACAGCTTTGGAAAAACTGGTGCAAATATACAGTGGCGCCTCCAGAATAATTTCATGGGGCCAGAGAAATTTTTGGGTTGACACACCAAATTGATCCTTGTGGTAACTGGGGAAGTTTAGCCTGTAGTGATGCAATACATGCTCATTCATTCTTCTTCATAAAAATATAAATACATTTATGGTTTGTGTGAACATTAGCATGACTTATTGCAGAACACTGGTCTTCCCTCAGTGTGGCCAGCAATTTTCCAGGGGTGACCATGGCCACCCCTGGCCAACCCTTGGGGGCGACACTGCAAATATACAAAAAAAATGTAGCTTTAGTGGCAACGGTCAGCCATAACATTTGGTAAGCAGGTATATATGTCTGTGGTAAGCATACATCATGAAATCTGGGAAAACTAACCTGTGTCCTTACAGCCTTTGTTGGAGCTCTAAAACTTAGGGATAGTTCACATTACAGACATCGGTTAAAGTGGGAATGGAACACATAGTCTGACTTTATTTGTGCAAAGTGAACCTTTAATAACTAATTTGCCTTTGAGAGCTTTTACGATGACATCACACCAACTTTAGAGTGGTGGAAACAGTTCTGAAATATTTGCAAACAATTTTTTTATTCTCCTGGAAATTGATGATATTTATAAATTATACATCAAACTATAGACATATTTCTCTTGCTTTAGTCGCCATGCCTCAGCAGTGCATCGTCAGTTTTACAGAGTTCAGCCGTATCAGAGCGCCTTATTTTCCCTTATAACCTGGAAGTGAAGGGTCTAATGAATCTGTCGTAGTGTAATATATGGCTTCCTTTGCATTTGTGCATTTGAGCAAATGTTTCTTACAATGTATGGTTACCATGGATACCTTAATGTGTCAGTAGCAGCAGCTTTAATGTTTCTGTTGACCTTGGTTCTCTCTACACTTAAATGCATTTGTAATTGTTTCCTGATTAAATCTTCCACACCACATATGAAAATAATGTATGAGTAGCTGAATTTTCCCCATTTTAAACAGACATTCTTGCATTTTAATATGTTAAAATATTCTGACATATAAAAGTTTTGTTCATTGTCAGAGCTCATTAAAATGGTTTCCTCGTCATGTGCTAATAATAAAGCTGATTTACACCTGCTTTAATGTTACCTTTGCGACTTCGAAATGCCGACTGAGGTCAAACTGCATGTGCTTAAGAGGAAAAAGTAGAAATTGCAAATTAAAAATTAATGAGTCAGGCTGCCCTTGTTACCTTTCCTGACAGATAGTGCACATTTCACACTTCCAAAGGCTGTCACGGTTTCATCACATCAAATAATTACATTTCTAATGTAGTGAGATGTGCATGGAAATGTACCTATGGAAGCTGCTGAAAATGCCTACTATCCATGCCTACTAAAGACAATAATTGTATCCACGTATCATGGCATTACCAATGATTTTGCTAAAGTAAAACAATATTTCTGTGTCCTGTTTAAAAAAATTATAAACAACCATTCTCTTTTATAAAGTAAAACTCCAGAACAAAATCTCCCCCATAAAAGAGAAGGAAACTACATTTATTTAATATATTTAACTTAAAACCAAACTGAAAGGTAACTTATAGTCGTTCAGCCACGTTCTGTGATTCCCTACAGCAAATTAAGGACATCCTTAAATATAGCTGGCAACCATTCCTATGGCTCATATGTGTGAAAACCAGGCAGCTAATCTTACAGGAATCCAACCACAGACATGTATACGTAGATGCCCCGTGGACGGAAGCTGTCTGTTGGAACTGCCGTAGTGGCTGGTTGCCATCTTAAATTGGGTCTCCATTTGCCCCCAGTGCATTTTTTTCTACTGAGGAAGGTGCTTACCCAACTAAAAACACGCTTTATTGTGCTGCCATATGGCATTGCATGATAGTAAATATAATATAATAAAATAAATAAAATATAAAATCCCAACAGGTAGGCTAGAAAAGTAAATCCCACATGATCTGCTTCAGTAGTGCACCAGTTGTTGCACAAAAAATGGGCATAGTTGCTCAATCTGCTGACAGTTGGGTTTGGAGTGTGAAGATCTCATCCAATATGGCGGCGATGCTGTTATGCTCTCCAGCACCCAGTGGCGCGTCTACGTATCCATGTCTGTGAATCCAACAAGGAATTATAAACACTTAACATGGGACTTTTCTAGCCTACCTGTTGAAATTTTATGTTTTAATTTATTTAGATTTATTTTGTTTAATTATATTCATATTTTAACTATCATATCATACGAAATGGTTGTTTTGTGAAAAAGCACAATAGAATGTGTTTTTTAGTTAGGTGGGCACCTTCTTCAGTAGAAATAAATGCACTGGGAGCCAATGGAGACTCATCCAAGATGGCGACCAGCCACTACAGAAGCTCCAATTGGCAGAGCCAGTCCACGGGGCATCTGTCTGTGATTATAAACCGCCACTGTTTAAACTCACCAATGAAGTCATTGGACCTCCCCAGGTCGTAGTCCCACACAGTGACCTCTAGAGTCTTGGAGGCCAACTCTGAGAAGGAAATTTCATAGAAGAACTCCTGGGTGACGATAAAAAGGTCAGAAAATTACCAGACAACAAGAAAAGTGGATAAAAACTTTAAGACTCCCCTTAAATAGTTTAAAGACATGGTGTCAATAAATCTGTGAAAAATGTATAAATCATGAGTAGGAGTTAATTATGCATTAGAGCAAAAGTCCAGAGGTTTTATGTTATGTGAGGGCACCATCTAGAGGCAGAAAACTGTATTGCACCTTAAGCCCCTCTCCCCACTTCTGTGATTACAGCTGGAAGCAACACCTCTCATTGGTGAACATTCTAGCCAGCGCACACAGATGTGTAACGCTGTTGGCTGATGCTAGTTAAAAATGCATGGGGTTCTATGTGATGGGGGGCGGCGGAGTTTGCTGCAGCTCTTTTCTCTGTTCTAAATGACTTGAAAGTCTTTAAAACCACAACAAGCAGGAGCGCTTAAAGCATTTCTTCTAAAAAAAAAGATGTTTGCGCCGTTGCCAGATGTGTTTTTTGACTACAGCTAAAAAACTACAGTGGTACAGTCGGCATTTCCGTCTTTTTTCTGATTAGTAATTTCTGAGCTGCCTATTCCCGCCCCTCATGTGCCCCTCTGCCTGTGAGTTACCAGACTCTTTCTCTGTGCAGAATGAAACAGAGGACGAGTCTGACAGGCCGGGCTAGCACATCTCCTGAGAAGGGGAAAACTCCAGATTGCTGCTTTAAAAAAGAAGAGACAAAACCATTTCTTGCCAAATACTGAGCCAAGTCTGTACACCCATATATTTCATCTAGAGTTGCTATAATAAACATTTCAGAATAAGTTACTCCCTTATGAGCACACTTTTGGCATTTATGGCAATATTGTACTTTATTGGTGTTTTATAAATGTCCACAACTTTCAAAGGGTGCCTTGTGGTAAAACGCCATTTCTTAAACACTATCAAACATTTTAAAAATGTTGCGTGGAGCCTTTCTGTGATCTGATAAAATACGTATTATTAATGTAAAGTGTAGTTGTTATTTTTTTAAAAGACTCAGCTAAACTTAGCATGGAGGGTGAGCGTCTCTGCAGTAATGACATAGATCCGATCTCACACACACTCCTAAACATGAACATTACCTCGTTAAACTCTGGATTCAGAGTCTTCTTTATAACCGCTGTTTTGTGCTTGGACTTCTTCTGAACATCTGGCTTCAGATACCTAAAAGCGAGGCGTGTGTTATTATCGTGTACAAGACTGATCATTATAATTCACATGTAAGTGCGTAGAGGGTGATAGCAAATGTCAGGACTAAAGGTCAGAGTGTGATCCTACATCACCCAAGCAATTATGCAGGATTAAACAACAGATTTACTGGTTCCTACTGGACTCCTTCATTTTTATGTCATCACCTCCTCTGTGAGGGACTCAGAAGATGCTTTTTGTTTTAAAAGATAGTAAGAAATTTAAGATTTGTTTTCTTTTCAGATATGTGGATCACCTAATCCCCTAACAAAAACCAAATGAGCACATCTTTTACGATGATTTTAACTCTTTTTACTCGATAAGCTGGTGATGTGCTAACAATTTTCTCTGTCTCGTGTGAAGCGAGTGCGTGGGAACTGATTAGCACCACAGAACAGATTGAAAATGCTCAGTATCCCTGGCTGTCAGCGAATTCCCAGGATATTTCTGAGCCAGCTGGAAGGAGTCTGGCAAAAATCACTATTCACTTTTGTCTTCCATCCACCACCCACAGCTCAGAACGCGTATGTTCCCACACGCTCTCCGACACAACAAAGCATCTGGGAAGGAGCTGCTGCCAAAAGGCCAAAGATGTGAGTAAGCATCCAAAATGAAAGGAGAAGCGTGATGTACAGAAGTGGATGTGTGAGGGACGGGTGAGTAGGTTTGGTGGGAGTTTAGAAAAGGGTGAGAAAATAGAGTTTGAGGCTTGTCAGAAAGAGAAAATAGATTGTTGAACTGTGGTGAGCACAGAGGAGTGAAAAATAAACAGTTTATATAAACGACTCTTATCTGAACTTTTGTTGTATTTTAAATCATGTACAGAAGGTAAATTTGACAGCTTCTACTTTTGGGGGTAAGAGCACACACAGCTGTGTGAAGTTTTCTTCTATTAACGTGAATTTACCAGAAAATTTGGTTAGGGTTTGCATGAAATGATGTTTGTAAAAGCAAATAACCAGACTATATCCAAGATAGGAGGAGTGCATGTAAACACAATCATACCCAGATGGAGTTCTCTTAGGTCACATCAGAAAACTATTTATTACTTGACTAAAATAATCCTGATGGATCGCTGGCTGTGAAGCACATGAATCACAAGCTTACAATAGAAAGAAGCACAACACCTGTGCAAATCAAATTTGATCTTACAAGCATTAAACGGTTAAGTGAAGATTATAATGATTGTAAAAATATAAAAATAACAAAAGTAGCTCAGAAATAACCTTCCTCCATGAGTGCAGTTCTGGAGGGATGAAATTAACTTGAAATTTTTATTTTCTTTTGGAACAGTAAAAATCTTGTTCTTCTTCTGGCATAAATTAACCCTCATAGATTTATTGCATCATGATCTAAACTGTTTTAAAAATAGAAAAACAGCAATGAGCAACAGTGACTATAACCATAGAGTCACACCTTACTGCTCTGCAGCAGTAACACCTCCCTCCTCTCCGTCCTCCTCCACTCACACACCAGCAAACACCACGCTGCTCTCCTATCAGCGGTGAGCGTTGAAACTCCCGACACTAACATCACCGTAACTCATTTCCCTTAATCCTTCACGGTTTAACATCAGATCCTGACACGTTCATCAGTCTGTTTTGAAGGCTGTCAAACAAACAAAGGGTGGGGTAAAACTCAGAGATGAACCGCGTCGTCCGCATGATGGATGAGCGCACACAGGTGGTAAAGACAGGTGAACAGAAGAGGTCATCCTGAAATGAGTGCGAGACGTCAGTCCATCACTCTCAAAGCTGTGTGTCGGACCAAAGCTTTTGACCTCTTAACGCTGAAACTTGCCTGGATCCTCACAACCAAAAGCAGACTAATTCAAAACGGGTCAAATTTTTACCCCAATTCTCCAGATTCAGCATGATTCATTCAGCAGTAAAACCTGTTGTTAATTATTTGCTTCATTATTATTTGCAAATACACCTGTGGGACAAAAACAATTAGGCCCACGCAGTGATGAAGGTAATGGGACCACTTATTATGTAACGCATCACACGGCAGCAGCCCAGCAGTCAACAGCTGCTGTGTGATAGTTTAGGATCTGACACGTGCCAAATTAGGAGCCAGATAACCAGTTTAGACCATTTCTTCAAGGTTTTGAGATTTTCTCCAGCAGCAGCAATCAGAGACAGATCTTAGACTGGCAAGAACTGAGAGGGATGCTTGCTTACGTTTTGACGTAGGGGTCGGAGAAGCCGTTGACATCCATGGCTGCCAGGTGGGCGCAGCGTTTGACGCCCACACACAGCCCACCCCGAGCTCTCTCCTTGGCCTCGCCCTTCAGATCGCTGTCGCTGTTTGGAGGGAGGAACTGGAGGCAGAGCAGCAGACGCCCTCTCTCCTCCAGACTTCTCTGCTGCTCGGTCTCCCACTGAAGGACAGAAGGGACACAAACAGGAAGAGACAGGGATGAGATGTGTGTGCTGCATGTGCTGCTGGGGATAATGTGTTGCTCTGTCTTCACCTCCAGCTTTTTTTTGTTTGTTCGTTTCATTTTCCTTCCCTCACATGAGCATCAGTCTGCAGCAACAGTTGAATGGATAGAAAAGGCTCTGAACCCACCAGACAGACTTAGTCTGACTTTGATGGATATAATGAAGCTTGTAGAAGCCGAAGAGTCCTCTTTAATCCTCAGAAGTTTGCGGAATGCTAAAGAAAAACAATAAAATGTGTTCTAGGCTAGAAGTCGACCTGTGATCGTTATCAAAGCCGATAATCAGAAGTCAGGTCAGCCATGCTGGCCAACAAATCAGCTTGTTTTACTCTAAATTGCTGATGCCAATTTTAAAATAGGAGACATATTAGCAGCTCTCAATTGCACATGAGAGATGATATATTAAATGTGATGTCACAAACGGGGGCTTTTTGAAACGGCTTGTTTTAGACACAATTCCTAAAACCACTGACAGAAAATGGATGCATGTTTTTCAAGATTGTTTAGTAAAGACCCACATAGCAGCACAAAAGGATACAAAAGGTGAGTTCTGCATAATGTGTCCCCTTTAAAGGCAGAAAATGTCCAACATATCAATCAGTTTAGTTGTTATAGACCTTTTCACACTTCCTCCTTTTATCTCCCAGAGTTGAGGCACATGTGAGTTGCTAAAATTGCACAGTGGAAAATAAAAATCTGAGATTTTGTGGTGTAGACTACTTCTGTGCTCACGTTTTAAAAGAAAATGCCCAAGTCTTTATTTTCAATCAGACACAAAATTAGCATGTGAATGGATGCAAGCGGGGAAGCGAGCAAACTGTGGAGGGAAAGATGTTTTTCTGAAAAAGAGAAATTCTTCTTCAAGCCTGACCCCCCCCCCCCCCCCCCCCCCAGCAACAACAGCAATAATAAATGGGAGGAGTCCATGAAAAAAGACAGATTAACACTCTTGAGTCTATTCTTCAACAATTGAACGTGTAATCTCAGTCATAAATCTGGTTTCCTGATGCTACAATCCACCCACATGGAAAAATTACACTGTTGATAGGTGAAATTAATAATTATAGAACAGTTAATAAATAAAATTTCGTGCCTTTCCATTTAAATAATAAAGTTCATAGGGAAGCTTTTAAAGAGACAATGTGTTTTCTCCATTATTCATGTAAAATATGATTCAAAATGTTGTTCAAGATTAAATAAATGATGCCCAGTTGATGAAAAATTTTGGCGGCTTCGTAACATGAAGCCATAAAAATGGGGTCTAAAACACATGGGAGTGGGTCCAAGTCTCTGGGCGACGCCATTTGCTATGTTTCCTACAGAAGCCCATGAGGACAAAATGCATTTACTGATTGTAACAAATCGTTACAAAACTTTTGCCATTCATAAATGCTGTTCATTTCATCCTGACAGCATATGACTTTTGTTGATTTTATGTTCTTGTTTACTCGAGCAGAGGCGTCCTCCTAGTCCAGCTGCTGCTGCAGAACCAGGTCACTTTATCGTGCCTTCAGCCTCATTAAGACGACAGAAGTGAACTACCCGCTGATAACTGCGGCTGTTGCTTGGTTCTGTGCCATGCTTTCTTTCTCACTTTGTGTGTTTCCCACCTGCCTAATGAGTCTCTCATTATTGATCTGTGAAGGTCCATGCTGTTTTATTACCAGCTACCTGATGCAAGCTATCCTCGCTCAGTGTGAATTTGAAAGTCTCCAACTCATTGTGGACAGATGGCAAACTTGCCACTGGCAGTGACGCTGATTCCTGCTGAAAAAAATAATAATAAAAAAACGACACTGAAAGAGGAAGAGGAGGGAGGCAAGCTGGTGAGATAATAAGAAAAACACCCGAGTCGTGAGGCATATTGATCGTCGTAGATGTGCCTAGCTCATGCCAGAAGATAAGATTTAATGAGAGATGGAGAGATACAAAGGGGAGACAGTTGTAGAACAGATGGTTTTCTCATCTTCTGTGATGAAACAACAACTTGTAAAAATGGTGCACTTTCAGTGATGCAAATGTGGTCTATAAATAGCAAACATGTATTTGTGCTGTAGGCTATGAGTGTGAGACATGGGCCTTGGAGGACATCGCCTTCTCCCTCCTCATCCTCTGGTTCTGCTTGTCACGGTCTGCCCCTGCCTCCCTGACTGTGTCTCTCTCCTGCCCTTGATTAGTCCTTATTGTTTTCATCTGCCCCTTGTTTACCTGCCCATGTGTTCCTAATTTGCCCTGTGTATTTATGCCTCCCTCCTTGTATCAGTCTTTGTCAGATTATTGTGTTTGTTGTCAATGTTGTTTTTGTCCTGTCGTTCCCGCTCTGGTATTAAAACCATTTTTACTTTATCCGAGCCTGCATTTTTACCTCCGGATCTGCTCCACCACACATGGTCCATCTACTCCTACACCTGCATTGTGACAGAATGATCTGACCAACCTGGACCTGTGGTGAGCTCTAAACATCTGCCTGGAGGATTATTATTATTATTTTTTTTTTTGCTTTTTCTCCTTTTCAGCAGAGGGAGATTCCGTCCTGAGGGGTTTTCGGCGCATCCTACAGGTTTTCGGGGTGGCCGAGCCCATTGGGAGGTTTTGGTGCATCCTACCTGTTCTCGGGGTGGTCAAAATCATTTCTCCTCTCCTGCTGTTTTGCCCCATCCTGTTTTCCCACGGAAGCTGCGGATCCTGGTGTTTCAGTGAGGTAAACCCCCTACGCACACCAACATTCTTCGGGGTGGTGGGGCTGGACTTCCTGCTCCATATCTGCTTCCCTTCACCCAAGCCTCCGCCTATGGACCCAGTTGTATCCTGATGCGCACCTGCTCTGACTGCTTGTCGAGTACCTGCCGCCGATCCTGGTTTCCTCGCGTCGCTCCTGCAGTTTCATCTACTTCCTGGTCCATGCCTGCGGGGCCTACACCTGCAGGTCCATCATGCTGCAGCCCCTTCAGAGTCCTGCTGCTGCAGCCCAAACCAGAGCTCAAGGAACTCTCCAAAGCCAGAGTTGTGCCGCCTATTTCAGAGGCCCCTGCTCTGCCAACCAAGTGTTCGAGTTCCAGTGTCCGAGTGTTTGAGTTTCCAGTGTCCGAGTGTTTGAGTTTCCAGTGTCCGAGTGTCCGAGTTCCAGAGTCTACGTGTCCGAGTTCCAGTTCCAAGTGTTCCAGTGTCCGAGTGTCCGAGTTCCAGTGTCCGAGTGTCCGAGTTCCAGAGTCTACATGTCCGAGTTCCAGTTCCAAGTGTTCCAGTTTCCGAGTGTCCGAGTTCCAAGTGTTCCAGTTTCTGAGTGTCCGAGTTCCAAGTGTTCCAGTTTCCGAGTGTCCGAGTTCCATGTGTTCCAGTTTCTGAGTGTCCGAGTTCCAAGTGTTCCAGTTTCCGAGTGTCCGAGTTCCAAGTGTTCCAGTTTCCGAGTGTCTGAGTTCCAAGTGTTCCAGTTTCCGAGTGTTCCCCTGTTCCAAGTCGAGTGTTCCTGTTCTGAGTCGAGTGTTCCCGAGTCTCCTGTGTTATGTGGCTTGTGGGCGTCTGGTATCCGCCCCTTAAGGGGGGGTACTGTCTTGGTCTGCCCCTGCCTCCCTGACTTTGTCTCTCTCCTGTCCTTGATTAGTCCTTATTGTTTTCACCTGCCCCTTGTTTACCTGCCCATGTGTTCCTCATTTGCCCTGTGTATTTATACCTCCCTCCTTGTATCAGTCTTTGTCAGATCATTGTGTTTGTTGTCAACGTTGTTTTTGTCCTGTCGTTCCCGCTCTGGCATTAAAACCATTTTTACTTTATCCGAGCCTGCATTTTTACCTCCGGATCTGCTCCACCACACATGGTCCATCTACTCCTACACCCGCATCATGACACTGCTAGCTTAAATCTTTTCCCGACTTCCACTTGTTGTCCATTTCTTGGGTAACAAATTCATGTGATCCACTGAAAATCATAAAGCAAGGAGCAGGAATGTGCTTTAAAAAGTTATCCCTGGAGCTTCTGGTCTGACATCTGGGTCTGCCCCACAGATGTCTGGGAGAAATCAGGAAAAAGAGGAAGTTGCGCTTGTCTAAAAATGACACCTTTCAGTTCATTAGCTCCCATCTCATTCAGCTGGGATGTAAAAGATCACACAAGATCTTAGCTTAAAAATGGTTCCATTAACTGATGGGGTCTGTATTTGTTAGTCCAAATATCTCATGAACCATCAAAACATTCTGAAATGAATGATTACACGCACTGCTACGACTGACTGATGTTTGGAGTCTACCTAATTCAAGCGTTTCCAGTTGACACATCTTGAATAAGGTCTCTAAAGCAGATCTTCAACTGCATGTTGGACATGGAAAAGCAAAAAGCAAAACAAACAACCTGTTATTTTTGAATACTTGGGTTTGCTTTGACATTTTTAGATTGCTGTAATGTCTTGCAGGTTTTAATCTCCATCACCCAAATCCAGTGTTCTTTTAGAGATGCTTAAAGCTCCATTTGATATTCCGTGATTCCAATTGTGTATTAAGCAAATTGACAAAAGAGAAATTAATTGGTAGAACTGTGGAATTTAACCAGTTTAGTGAGTATTCTCAAACTGTTGAAAAAGAGTTTATCAGCTCTATTGCTTGAGAGAGAAAGAATTGAGAATTCTGGAGAAAAGGTCACACATCATCTGCATAAAGACTCATTTTATGTTCTATGTTCTTACACTTTATGCTTTTAATATCTGTTGTTTGCCTAATTGCTGCTGCTAGTGGCTTGATAAAAATAGCAAACAGTGAGGGGGAGAGTGGGCTTCCCTGCCTGGTCCCCCTCTGAAGACAGAAGCTAGCTGATATTTGGTTGTTCGTCCTGACACGTGTTGTTGGTGAATTGTATAATGTTTGTAGCCAGTTTATGAAGAAGTTCCCAAAGCCAAATTTATGTAAAGTTGCAAACAAGAACTTCCAGTTAACTCTATCAAAAGCCTTTTCTGCATCTAGAGATAATATACTAGTTTCTATGTTTCTACTGTAAGAGAAATCTATCAAATTAAGTAATCTAAGCGAGTTTGTGGATGACTGTCTACCCTTAATGAAACCAGTTTGGTCAGGATGTATTATGAAGGGGGTTACCTTCTCTAATCTTTTTGCCAGGGCTTTACAAATAATTTTGAGATCAACATTAATAAGAGAAATTGGGTGATAGCTGGTAAGAAATACAGGGTCTTTGCCTTGGCTGGTGCAATTTCACGTCATCGGTACAGTCTCCGTCCATTCCCCCTCCCTCCCTGAATGGAAATTCCCCACACTTGGACATGCCACTCTGTGCCTCCTAGTAACGCCCACTTTCATGGTATTTTTCAAATCTTAACTAGGGGTGGAGTTACGTTTTCTGATGGTGTGCCTGACCTGGCATACTCATCCTCTGTTTAATTCTGCACAGAGAAAGAGTCTGGTAGCTCACAGGCAGAGAGGCACATGAGGGGCGGGACTAGGCAGCTCAAAAGTAACCAATCAGAAAAAAGACAGAAATGCTGACTGTACCGCGCGATGCTGTATTTTTCTAGTTGTAGTAAAAATAAAAAATTGCGTCTGGCAACGGTGCACACATCTTATTTTTTTTAGAAGAAATGTTGTTAGCTCTTCTACTTGTTGTGGTTTTAAAGACATTCAAGTCATTTAGAACAGAGAAAAGAGCTGCAGCGAACTCCGCCGCTGTCTTCGTTGTTTATGAGAAGCTGAGCATCGCTGTGTGTGACGTCCGCGATGCTGTAGTTTTTTTAGCTGTAGTCAAAAATGGCGTCTGGCGACAGCGCAAACATCTTTGTTTAGAAGAAAGGCTTTTAGCGCTTCCACTTGTTTTAAAGACGCGTCCAAGTCATTTAGAACAAAGGAAAGAGCCGTAGAGAACTCCGCTTCAGTCGTCATGTTCGACAAACTCGGCATTATGGTGTGTGACGAACGCTACTCAGCACTGATTGGCTCGGTAAGAATTCTTACGGGGTGGGGTTATTTGAAAAAGAGAGTTCCGAGACTCTTTATCTGTGCAGAATTAAACAGAGGAGGAGTCTGGCAGGCCAGGCTAGTGCAGTCCCTCTTTAAACAAGACCAGCAGCAGCAGGTGATGTCACACAAAAGAGACAGAACATTAAAAACACTTTTTTATCTGTGTGTTTGTTTTAGGTGTTTTCCTGCTGCTGTTTCACTGACTCTCCTATAAAACCAACAAAATATCTTGATAAAACAAGTACAATCACAATAGAGAGTAAACCATTTCAACCCTTTGATGCATGAATTATGAAATCTTCAACCATGATTTTTTAAACAAATTTTTTCATTCATCTTTAGGTGTGAATGAAACAAATGTCATATTTACATATTTTTTGTAACATTTAATTTACACATAGTTTATTACACGTCCACCTCAGTGGACAGCATGCATTCTAAACATGAAATATGTTGGCTTGACTTACTGAAGTCGAAATGGAGGAGCTCAAATGCAATAAAGTCTTCAACAGCTGTGCTTAATAGCAAAAATAAATAAATAACAATTTTGAGTACCTGTCCACTGTAGTGACCATCATGCATCAAAGGGATAAGGAGCTCCTTCACTGGGAAACCATTTTTTTTACTTATTTTTGAAAATGATCGATCACTCTGAGTGTTTCATGCATGAACATGAAGATAGTGTCCAACACCCATCTCCTATATTAGCTCAGCAAATAGACGGTGAAACTCTAGGATCTGAAAATCCTGACAGATCTACATCACACTGTCACTTAACCTTCATGGACTCACCCATCTTGACTCGTGACAGGAAAGGAAACAGCAGAGAACGTCTCGGCTAGTAGAAGCTAACCATTAGCATTAGCAACTCCACCATACAGCAGAATTCCTCCAGGCTTATGTTATTTGTGGAGATAAAACATCTGTGTTAGAGAACAGAGTTAATGGGAGAGTTGCATTGCTGTTAGCCAATCAGAGACAAGATGTCCAAATATCAGGAAATAAAACTTCAAATCTTGTTGTCTGAAGCTACTTTCTCCTCTGGCTGAATTTTCTGTGCTGACACACCAAAGCAGCATGTAGATAATCCCATTCTGTGGGCCATTTCCCAACAGTTTGGCAACTGGATCAAAAGATGAAAGGTTGGATCAATGCTTCGGATCTTTCCCTGGCATTTTTCTCTGTTCTATGATGTGTGTGTTTGGTCTGTAACATTGCTTAGGCAGACCAACACCGCTTTCCAACATTTCCCAATCTGAGGTGTTATACACCTCACCTGCTTTTAATGTAGAAGCAGGCCAGTTTATAATTAGGTGGATTCCCCCACACATAACTGTTCACAGCTTGGGAAGAACTCTGATTTCCCTTTTAAAATATTCACACTTCTTGTCAGGATGGGACTGCAGCATCTAATTATTTTCATCTAAAAGTAATCAGTCAGGTGGGGAGTTACCAGGGTGCTTGACATGCTCTTCACATGCCAGTGGCGGCCATTGAATTAAAGGTGTGGTTGACTGAAAAAACATATTTTAATGATTATTTCTGATTATAATCAGTCACTCTGAGTTTTTCATGCAGGCTGAACATGAAAACAGTATCCTACACCTATCTCCTGCATTAGCTTCTGATAGAAAATAGACTGAGAGATGCTAGGATTTGAAAATTCTCACACATCTATGTCACACTGTGAATTTGCACTCATGGCCTTGCCCGCCTTGGCTCGCGCCCACCCACAGGAAGGCTTTTTTTGAGCGAGTGGTTTGTTTTAATAAAAACATTATTTTATTCATCCTAACCTGAACAAAAGCCAAGTTAAAAGTATTAACTGAACAAATATTCTTTTATATCAGTTATCACTGAAACGTCTTAAAACGGACTAAAGTGAAAGCAATTACAATAAACTAAAAAACCAGCTAATAAACTTCAGAGTTTACTTTTATTTTGGGGTTCATAATAATTCCAAAAACATTTGAACAACAAACAAACTAAACTGCCGTGTAAAACCGTGATCTGCAGCTCTCACTGTCACGGTGTAGGAGGTGGAGACGGCGGACCATGTGTGGCAGAGCTGAACGGAGGAAAAATGCAGGCTTCAGTAAAAGTAAAAATGATTTAATGGCAGGATGGGATGAGCAGGAACACCAGCAAACAACAACAATGAACTGACAAAGCACAGGGGCAAAACAGGTGGTTTAAATACAGAGGGCTAATTAGGGAAACATGGGCAGGTAAACGAGGGACAGGTGAGAACAATAAGGGGAATCACGGCAGGAGAGGAACACAGTCAGGTTGGGCAGGGGCAGATTGTGACACTCACTGGGACTTCTGCACAGATATTCTGGTCCAGTCCTTGTCTGTCATGTCCAAAGGGCTTTTCCTCCAGATGCTGCAGCTACAGAACTTCAACAGGATTGGGACCCATAGGACCAATAGGTGTCAGCTTCAGAATGATCCAGTATTTGATTCTGATCCAGTGTTCTGTGTAATAAACCTGTTGGGGGACCCATTACCCATAGCTCCAGAATTTCTGGGTTTTGATATTTTCTTTGATCCAAAACAGTTTGAGGACATCCTGTCTCCATTTCTGTGTCAGTGCACTTAGAGTTGAAATTCCAGTTTTGTCTCATTTGTCTAGACGCTGTGTGACTTCTTAAAACTTCTTCCCAGTGATCTTCCTTTTTATTTTATTTTTTTATTGTGATTTGTTTTGAAGAGTATTGGCCTTACTGGTTGTCTTCCATCAAGTGAATGTTGTTTCAAACAGTGACAGGTGCTTTGAACCTTGACCTTGGAGGTCACCTCTAATCTTGTTGGACGGTGCTTTGAGCTCTTTGGCTGCCGCTGGTATTATCCATCTCTCCAGTTTACCATCACCAATCCTCCCACGTGCACATCCAGAGAAGATGGTCCTGTGGATGTAAAAATCACAGGAACATCCAGATGCTTGGAGACGATCTTCTCATCTTCACCTTTAACACGCTGGTCAATAATCATCTCACTAATCTCCAGAGACAACTCTGTCCTTGTCTTCCTGTGGTCCGTGTTCAGTGTGGTACACACCCTGATACCCAACAGCCCTGTGACTCCCACTCACCCTTTAAACAGGCAGACTGATGGATTCAAAGACAGAAGACACCTGCGATGCTGATCGTAGGACACACCTTGGTTCAACACATCCCCATGGTCTCCATCCTTGTCCAGGATGGTTTCATTAGTTCTTTAATTTAATATTTTAGAACCAAAATTCAAATGCAACATTTGAATTTTATTTGTTTATTTGCAGTAATAATTTATTATTTTTGTCATATGTGGGTTATTTCAGTGACCATTGTGTATGTGCATGACCGAAGTTATAACCTTCTAGATTTCGTGAAGATAACAAACATCTGCAGAACTGACAGCTACGAAAATGACAGATTAAGAAAGTTCTGGTGACTAATAGCCTTTCCCCTTTGCTTTGAGATCCTGAATAATTTATAAAGAGTTGTTTTTACAGAAGCGAGCCCCACACGAGTCTGCAGAAGCCCGAGTTTTGCCCTTTAAGACAGAGTGAGGTCATATGAGTCGGACGTTCACCTCTCTCAGGTAGCAGGAGATTCCTCTCAGGGCCGGGCTCATGGCCGTCGGCGAAGGCAGCTGCAGGCGGAGCGAACAGAGGAGAGACAGAGAAGAGCACATGAGTGACAGGGAAACTGCAGAAAGCTGCAGAGATGTGGACAGATCCATCCATCTGGAGTGAATCCACTTTTTAAAGCTACAGACCCGGAGCAGCGTGTGGTTTGCAGGACGAGGGTGGGTGAGTGTGTGTGGGGGTGTAAACGTTTGATCACAGAGTGGCCCCCGGCCTCAGAGGGATAATCTAATACCAGCAGAGCTTTCCATCACATGAAGAACTAAAGCCCCATCCCCTCACCCCCACCGCTTCCCTCCTACTGTTGCTTTTATTTTTTAATCCATTTGCTGCTCATCTCTCCCGCCGCCTGTTGGCACTCTGACGGCTTCCTTTCTCTCACTTTCTCCCCTCCCCTTTCATTTCTCTGATGCCTTTAACATTCGTCATGGACAGGTGACCCGGCTGACCTTTGGCTTGGACAAAGAGCCATTTGTGGGCTTTAAAAGTAGACACAATTTTTATTTGTAATTTGAAGGAGGCACAAATCGTGTCAGCGGGTCAATAAAACCAGTTCGATACTGGTTTATTACAGAAAAACGGCCTCCTATTCTATTCTTAGATCTGTGTTTAGTCTGGTGCCATTTATCTTTGTTTAAGCTCCTTTTTTAAAATTTGTTTCAAAACGTTTTATTTGACTTTTCCAATTTTCTCAAACATCTATAAATCTTCTTCTCCTCCCTCTGTCTTATTTAGCACCTCTTCACACAGAAAGTATCACTAAACTCCACACAACCCTCCAGACATTCATCTCCCTCATACACACGCATTCTCCCATTTCCTGTCCTCCTCCTTTTATTATTTTAAATGTGTGTGTCCTTGTTTTGCTCACAGGAGGTGGATGCTCCAGACAGATGTTGAAGTGTTTGGTCTGGTCAGGCTTCACACGGCGCAGGGCCACCCTCGACTCCCCGATGAACTCGTTATGTGTCAGCTTGTCTTCGTCGCACACAGACACCCTGGGAGACAAACAGAGACAGGGCTGGCCGGGGGAGGTAAAAATGACAAACGGCGGACGAAGCACGAATAAAGAATAAGCGTAGCTGGTTAATGAGGCTGAGATAAAAATCTGAAAGCGATCTAGAACGTGTGGAGAGAGCGGAGTGGTAAAAAATACGTATTATGACAATGTCACATTATTGTAGCAGCGATATAACAAGAAAATCTGACCTGAATTAGAATTTAAATAGTCAGAAATCCTAATATCTCAAGCATAATTTGCATATTGTACATTTAGTTGTCACTTTTTCTCCGATGAGAATTCATAAAGAGTAAAAGTACACAGGGAAAGGTTAAGTTAATCCATATCAATAGCCCTGATGAACTCTTACACCTGCCATGATGTCAGTGTTATTGGTGGGTGGGGACAGACACAGAGGAGCAAAGGACACAGAGGTGTCGTGGATGCGAGATCCAAAGGTGCCATCTGAGAGGATGGAGCGACGTGAGGTGAGAAGGAAAGGGTAAAAACAGAAGGGTGTGTTTAATCATGAATCAGGTGACTGAATGAGTTTACCTCTTCCTCCTGCACTTCACTTAATCCTGAAGAGAAACACGGATTAGATTAATGAGATTTAAAAGGAATTCAGATGTGCAGGAAAAAATCTGTTTTTGTCACGCCTTCAGGTTCTATTTTCTGCTAATAAAACACAAAATTACAAAACCGTAGATTTAACTCAGCAGGCGGATGGCCTGGGGGTGCAAAAAATGTGCTGGAAGCCTAATAAAGGAGATGGAGACAGAGACGGGAAGGCAGAGGGCTGGCGGAGGGATGATGGGGAAGAGAGATGAAGTCATCTGGAGCTGTGAGATGAAAGATTTACAGGAAATGAACAAATGTGAATGAAGAAAGGCTGGAGGAAGTGTGAGTGTAAAAGTTCAAAGGTCAAATGAGTGAGAAGAATATAACAGTTCTCTATGAGACAGAGTGAAGGAACGTGAGCATGTGACTGTCCCTCTGATATCCTACACGCACCACTGAGCCAGTCACCACGTCATCAGAGCTAAATGTGATCTGGGAGCCTCAAAAACTAACATCAGACCCACAAACACAACGCTGTCATCTGTAGCAACAGCTCCAGAGTTCAGTCAGAGGCTATTGTGTCACTACAGAGCTGCTGTTGACACACACACACACACACACACACACACACACACACACACACACACACACACACACACACATACACACACACACACACACACACACACACACACACACACACACACACACACACACACACACACACACACACACACACACACACACACACACACACACACACACACACACACACACACACACAGTGCAGGAGGACCGTGCAGTTGTGGCCTGCAGGTTTTATGTTGCAGAGGTGTGGACTCGAGTCAGACTCGAGTCATTATTTTAATGACTTCTGGCTTGACTTGATAAAATCTATAAAGACTTACGACTTGACTCGGACTTGAATGCCAATGACTTGTGACTTGAATCGACTTGCACCTGTTGACTTGATGTTGACTTGAGCATATTTGATATTTGTGACACGACATGGACAAAAATCATGAATCATTCTTGGTTCTGGGTTTGATCTTGTTCTGCTGAATGCAGCAGCTCTTTGTTTATGATCAGATTCAGCTGCACTTCCTGCTTGTTTCAGCAAATAAATGAAGCTTTAAGAAGCTTTATTTCTGGAATGTATTAATTATCATTGTCATTAAATTGAAGTTGGACAGATGACTTGATTATGACTTGAAAATTCAAAGTTAAGGACTTGGACTTGACTTGGACTTGGTTGTCTTTGACTTGGACTTGACTTGAGACTTGACTGGAAAGACTTGTGACTTGCACAGCAGTGACTTGGTCTCACACCTCTTGTTATGTTGTTTTCCCAGTAAACTGCTAAAGTCATGGTTGGGTTGAGTAAGGCAGCAGCTCAGAAATTCAAAACATTTTCACTGTTGATTTAGATTTTTTTTTATTTGGAGGGACCAAACACGTTGATCCTGTAAACATGATGTTTCACTCTGACTGCGTGTGAGAGGGTTAGGGGATGCCCGATGACACCTGGATCATAAAGACTGGTGTTGGTGAAAACAATGTCAGTGTGTTTATTTATGTGAAACTTTCCGTCTCCTCATGTTTACACGCCTCAGCTGAATTAACTCGGAATCGCGATTCAGTAGTAGGGCCAGTTTCTCTACTCGCCCTCCAGGGAGAAGCCATCCATCCCTTTTAAATTCCACATTCATGTGTGCCACGGCAAAGTTTTGGTCACACTCAGAGACAATTCACAGCTTTTGTCACCTCCAGAGGGGGGTCAGTAAAATTAAAACACCCCGCGGTGCTTCGTCTGACCTCAATCTGTCAGTGCGACTTTGAAAAACAGAAAGCAGGGAGGCAGAAGGAAAGTAACACAAAGAGAAAGGGGAGATCCTTTCTGATCCTGGTGGACAGAAGAGATGTGAGGATGGGAAAGGCTGGAGGTGAGGTGGCAGATGAGGAGCGTTTTAAAGACCTGCAGAGATAGCGAACTACAGAAAGTGCTTTTAGTTGATGGCAGAGGAGTCTGTGATGGAGACAGATGATAAGAAATCCTTTGTGAGCGTGAGTCAGATCTGAGAAAGGCAGAAGAAGGGCTGGAAGTAAAGTGGACAGGAATAGCCTCGTCCACAGGGAGCGTTTACCGTAGAGTTTTGCGGTACATGTCCTCCTCGGTGATCCCACAGTAGGTGAGTGTCTCGTTCCAGACGGGGTTCAGCGTGTTTCGAACTATCTTGGTTTTCAGTTTATTGGCCTGTAGATCAAAGAAAAGCAAAGAAAACACCTCTTTAAATCTGATGGTAGACACAAGACCTCCAGATCCAAGGTTATTTTCTAATTTCCCTCTGGGATCAATTAAGTATTTTTGAATTGAATTGCATTTAATTGAATTGTTATGTTGTACTGCGGATGTATTCATGCGCACTTACAATTTTATTAAAAAAACTCATGAAGTGATTGAAATGTGCACTCAAATATTCTTGGTGACTGGTTTTCTGAAGGTCTTTTCCCTTTATAGAATAAAAGAGGAGATTCAAATAAAAGCTTCTGCTGGTAGTAAAATCAGACCTTGCACGCTCCTGGAAGCAGGTGCAGCTTGACGTAAGGATCAGCCAAACCGTTGAAATCCATCGGCTTCAAACCCTTACAGAGAAGATACGAGAGAGAAAACATTAGAGGATGCTGGGGAGAGTCGGTGAAAGCTTTCAGTAGGTGAATGCACTCCAGAACACACACACACACACACACACACACACACACACACACACACACACACACACACACACACACACACACACACACATGTGGAGGATGACTAGATATATAGGACTAGATATGGCAGGTTTCCGATGAAGGTACTAACCCTATGCACCATCTGCATGTTTAGTGTTTTGATAATAAATTGTGACAGAGGTCTATAAGAGGTTCAGTATGCAGTTTATTAGCTATTGAAGGCACTCTTTCTAGCTTTTAGTACACCCTAGTGTCCGTTATTAGTTATCTGTGGTTAAACCATGAATGAAACTCATCTCCTCGCTGTGCGTTTGTCTTTTTAACACCTTAATCTAACAGCTGAAATGTCTCCCCAGCCTTCATTAGTGTCCACAGGAGTGATTCATCACTAAATGAAACAAATCAGCTGTGTTCACAATCTAAAACATGCAGGAATTGTGCTGGAAGCAGACTGCTGCACCAGGTATGTCAGCTCAAGTTGTTCTAAGTCCAACAGGTGTCCAACAAGTGCGGTATTCTGGCCACAGAAAGCAGTAGGGGTCTGAGTGACATTTCATTAACCCCGTAAAGGATCATTTTAGCACATACTGGCTCTAGAAAATGATCAAAAATATTAAAAAGTTGCATTTTTACCTTTGAAGGTAAAAATGATGTTTGTGCATTATCCAGGTCTGGGTCCAGGTTGTGGGGGCAGCAGCCCTAACAGAAAGGCACAAACCATTTTCTACCCAGCAACCTGCACCAGCTCCACATTAAGATCCCAAGGCATTCCCTGACAAACACGGAGACATCATCCCTGCAACTTGTCCTGGATCAACCCAGGGGCTTCCTGCCAGTAGGACATGCCCAAAACCCCTCCTCTAGAAGGAGTCCAGGAGGCATCTTGGCTAACATGCCCGACCCACGTCAGCTGGATCTTCTCATCGTGGAGGAGCAGCAGCTCTACTCCAAATTCCTCCTGTATGCTCGAGCTCTTTGCTCTATCTCTGAGGCAGATGCCAGCCACCCTGATAAGGGAACTCATTTCAGATTTTAGTATTCATGATTTTGTTCTTTCGGTCATTACCCACAGCTGATGACCAGGCTGAGGATTGTGATAAAGATCGACTTGTAAACGAGAGCTTTGCCTTCTGTCTTGGCTCCCTCTTCATCACAGCAGACTGGCTCCGCGTCTGCATCACTGCCCCATCTGCCTGTCGATCTCCCACTCCCTCCTTCCCTCACTCGTAAACAAGACCCCAAGATAATTAACCTCCTCCACTTGAGGTGGGACCTCTCCCTTGACGCGGAGTTGACAGTGCCCCCTTTTCCTAAGAAACATGGCCTCAGATTTGGAGATGCTGATCCTCATCTCAGCCGTTTCATTTACTTTTATCCAACAAGACAAACCCTGTGACGTGTCTCTAACGATGTTTTAGGGAGGACGTAGTACCTTTGCTCTGAGGACGGTGCAGTGTAAGGAGCTCGTGGCTTTTTCATACAGGAGGTCAAACTCCAGCGTCCCCAGGGAGGCTGAAAGGGAGGTAATGGAGACAAAATAAAACGTTTCAGTCACTTGGTTAATTGCTTTTGTGACGACGCCTTTATTACCTGCAAGCGAGATAAAGTGAGATATTAAATTTGCAGCCCAGCAGGGAATACTTGATGCATCTGATATATACTTAGGAAGCTTAGAGTAGCAGTTTAATATAAGAGGAGCAGATAATAGAACATTCATGCAAATACTGATGCAAGTCCCACTTCTGAACTAGTGCACTTTCTCTTAAATAAACAGTCGGTCTAATTCGTCGTTACTCTCAGGTGACTCACTGTTATCATCACTGTCACAGCTGTCAATCTCAATAGAGGTGTCCATGCTGCTCATGGCCGACAGTGACCCCCCTCCGCCTGCAGCTCCTGGTAACAGTGGAGACAAAAGACCACTGCTCGCTGCTTCTCCTCCTCCTCCTCCTCCAACTGCTCCACCACCTTGACCTGCGCTGCCCGGGCTGAGTGCACCCGGGGCTGTCAGCTGATTGGGCGAGAGAGGCTCAGAGAAGGAGGAAGTAGGCGAAAGGCGCGGGAAGTACGCAGAGATCTGACGAATGGGGCGAATGGGGCCGGGGCAAACGTCAATGGCCATGTGCTCCTGGATGGAGATGCCCAAACGGTTTCCTTTCCGCACAGTCATAGAGCTGGGGGAGACATTAGGCATCATTCAGAGCGTCTCATGTCAGAAAGCTGTTATAAAGTGTTTTTGCTTTCTTTGTGGAATTTCTTGAGATCGTTAGTTTCAGAGACGTTGTTTAGGATGACAAAACACAGCCGAGGAAACAGGACATTTGCATTTCAATTGAATAAATGTGAACAAACCCAACTGTGTAAAAGAGAATGAACGATAAAAAAGCTTTCCTCTGAGGCCCACTCAGTGAGTGGCTCTTTTATGTTTGACACTCCTGCAGGTAATTACTGAGGGACACTCCTGTGCTGAAGTGGTTCTTGTTTCACATGGATATTCAGAAAAATCCTGTTGGTTATAGAAAGTTGTGGGGAGTTGAGATGACCACAGGACTGATGGGTATTTTCCCTAAAAAATCTATATAAAAACACTGAAGGGTAGAATTTCTCACAGCTTTTTGTTTTCTAAAGACAGCAGGGCCTGAGGGGGCGTTGTGTCCTCAATGCAGACTACACGCTCCTCTGACTATACCTCCTGTTCCCTCTGCGTACACCGACTCAGGCTGAGAACTTCTCATTTGTGCTGTGAATATTTGCACTTCCTCTATATTATTTGGTCAAAAATACAAATCAGAAAATGTAGAGGCAGGAGGCTATTGTTGAGACGTGACTGGACTTTGAATCACATGGACTGAAGTGAAGGCACGCAGATGAAACAGCCAATAACTCAACTCTGCAGTGACGATACGGGAGTGTTCTGTAACAGACACATGATCGATCAAGCTCCAATAAACACAGGACATCTGCCTCTATGTGGATACCTCATAGCTAAATGTGAACAATCCGACAGTCATCAAAACACCCACTATACATTTGGACAACTTTTGTATTTTATCAATTTTAACAGATTCCATCCATTCCTCTATTTTCAGCCACTTTTCCGGGGTAGGGTCTCGGGGGCAACAGCTTAAGCGGAGAGGCCCAGACTTCCCTCTCCTCAGCCACTTGGGCCAGCTCCTCCGGGGGAATCCCAAGGTGTTCCCTGGACAGCCGAGAAACATAGTCTCTCCAGTGTGTTCTGGGTCTTCTTTTAGGTCTTCTCCTGGTTGGTCGTGCCTTGAAAACCTCACCAGGGAGGCGTCCAGGAGGCATCCTGACCAGATATCCGAGCCACCTCAACTGGCTTCTCTCGACGTGCAGGAGCATCAGGTCTACTCCGAGCTCCTCCCGGATGATCGAGCTTCTCACCCTATCTCTAAGGGAGAGTCCAGCCACCCTGTGGAGGAAGCTCATTTTAGCTGCTTGTATCTGCAATCTCGTTTTTTTTTTTTTTCGGTCACTAGCCAAAGCTCATGACTATAGGTGAGGGTAGAAACGTAGATCGACCGGTAAGTGGAGAGCTTTGCCTTCTGGCTCAGCTCTCTCTTCATCATGACAGATCGGTGCAATGCATGCATCACTGCAGATGCAGCACCAATCTGCATGTTGATCTTACGCTCCATCTTTCCCTCACTTATGAACAAGACCCAAAGATACTTGAACTCCTCCACTTGGGGCAGGACCTCATCCCTGACCCAGAGAAGGCATTCACCGTTTTCTGACTTAAGGCCGTGGTCTCAGATTTAGAGGAGTTGATTCTAATCCCAGCCGCTTCACACTCGGCTGCAAACCGCTCCAGTGAAAGCTGGAGATCACGTTCTGATGAAGCCAACAGGACCACAACATTTGCAAAAAGCAAAGACCCGATCCTTAGGCCACCATAACAGATGCCCTCAACACCTTGGCTGTGCTTAGAAACCCTGTCCATAAAAGTTATGAACAGATTACACAGTGGAAAAAATTTGAAATTGGACTAAAAACTTGATTAAACATCACAAGACGCTGTTTAGGCAATAAATGGTTTAAACACTTTAAAATTATGAAATAGATTTGTTTTGTTCATTGTCTACAACAGTTTAACTACAAGGTTCATTGTCAAAAAATAATCCAGTTTGAGTCACCAATGTGAGAATATCTGGGCAGACAGCATCATCTCCTGCTCCCCATGATCAGCACCACGGACAGCGGCGCGCTGCGTTTGGTCTCCCATCCAACCTCCGTCCTGAAGGCAACCAACACAGCTGTTCCTAATCAACTGACAACTGCTGAGGCTTATAAATGCTGAGGCTACCTGATCTGTGCTGATTCCCCTGGTCATGTTGGAACACGGATAGTGAACCAGAGAGCCGTAGTGCTTTGCACATGTGTTTGATGCCATAGCCCTCAGTTAGCTTACTGGTACAGCCTTAGAGCCTCGTTAGTTAGTTCATATAGTGGATTTAACTTTAGTCGACTTCAGTTAGAAGCTTGCTGATTTTCTTCCTCCTGAGTTAATTTTAGTTGTAGTTCGGATTGTTTTATCATTGTCACCTTGTTTAAAACTTTTATCACTTAAGTTTGTTACTAGCACCCAGCTCCCCATGCAAATAAAAACCTACTGTTTACTTCTTGCACGCGTCTCCTTGTGTTACACCCTCCTTCACCTTTTTAAGACCAGATTGTAACAATAAAGTAATGAAGAGCTATTATTTAACTCGTTGTGGCTTTCTTCCTGAGCAGCTTGTACTTGGACAAACTGTTTCAAATGGATCCAACTACAAAGTTTACAACTGCCATGTTACAAGGTTATTTTAGCACAAATATTAAGCAATATCACTGATGATATTATATACAGTAAATAAATGTATAAATCATGTCATACTAAAGTTATAGTGATATTTATAGTGCATTTATTATTTCATTTATTTATTTTACTTATGTTTTATGAGGATGTAAACCGCTTGAGATGTAACATCTCATTTTCGAGCGGGTCCTCAAAGTCAACAACAAAGTAGCTAATAAGACAGCAGAGTCATTAAATAATCCCTAATTCATGATTAATAAAAAACTTTAAAAATCACTCAAAAATGCATTTAGATGAAATTGTGTAACATACTGAAGATTGTAGCGAGCTTATTACAACTAAAAGTAGCACTGATGAGTGAGATGAAGTCTAATTTGAAAATCTGAACTCAGAACTTATGTTTTATGACGCATTTTACAGAAATTGTTGTCTACAACCAAACACCTCAATGTTTCTGGAGGGGGCTGAGTGTTTGTTTCAAGATCATCATCAGATGTGAAGTCAGCCATCTGCTACAGGTGCTGCAGTGATGTTTTTATGAGGTTTTGATCCCTCAACAGTATTTTTTATTTTCTCTGAGAAAATCATCAAACAGACACAGCATAGTGAGGGTCTTCATCCTTCAGTTATCCTCAATCTAGGAAATGTGTTTTTCTGATTATTTAGTTTGTGCACTTCAGATGATCCAGATGCTTTTATTTGTTGACACATTTTGTTTCAAAGGTCAAAACCAGTAAACGGGTTTTTATCTCAGAGCCTACATTCATCAGGATGAAGTTAATGTGCCCTGACTCTGAAAGCGTTGCCTCTGACTGCTGACCTTCAGTGAAATTAAAAGCAGAGCAGGTCGTTCATCATATGTGGTCGAGTCTCATCACTGTGGTTAGAACGTACCACGGCTCATCCAGCTTTAGCTCGGCCGCCTCTGAAACGCGTCATGGCGGGCCAGCACCAGAACCAGCTTCCTCCCTTCGTCTGACTGAAAGGACTGTGACCGGCTTTTGGCCGGGGACAAGAGACCATGAACATCCTTGCCTTTTGAAAAGCAGCAGAAGCTTTATGGCCCTTGTGAACAGCTCAGTCGATGATGTCAACATCAAATCTGCAACTTTTTGTCACAATTTAATCAGCAGTTGCAGTAATTGGCCTCATGAATCCCTTCACACCTTAACTGAATATTCAAATTTAGCAAAACAGATTTGAGAGCTGAAGAAAACAAGTGAATGAAGCTCCCTGTCATCACCAAGACCAAAAACCAGGAATGAGTTTGTAATTAATGATAATTATTAGGTAGAATGCATTAATCATCAAAGCACGCACATGCACGCACACACACACGAATGCTTGCTTGTTGAGGGCATGAGTGTTGACATAATGTGCACAGTCACTCCCCCCCCCCCCCCCCCCCCCAGTTCTGACAGATGTGTCTGTGAGCTGGGGCAGCTCGAACACCAGCAGCAGCACTAGAACCACCGTGAAGCCCGTAGGCTCGGATCTCTCATGATTGAGCGCTCACCTGCTGCCAGCTGGAACATCTCTCATTGTTCCTTCTATCATCCTCCTTTGTTCCAGAGGAATGCAGAAAAATAGAGACTTCACCTCTTCAGCTCATCTGTGTGTGGTGAAACACAACTTTAATCTACCTAAAGCATCCCAAATGTGACTTTAATTCCCGTGAGTTTAAATACATTCCAGCTCGTATCCCTGCAGCTATAAACACTCCTTCTGCTCTTTGACGGGTTTTACAGATTTAGGAGGAAGCTTTTAAAATATCCATCAGGAATATCTCTGTCCAACATGCAGCCTCCCCCTCCCTCCTCTTTTAGCTCCATCACTTTGAATTAGAGTCATATGACAGGCATGGTCGCTCTCCTCCTCAACCCCTACCTTTTCATCATCACCATCAGAAATTCACCTCTCTGCTTCTCCCTCTTATTTTGTCTCATTGGGTCTCCTTCCGCCTCTCTCAGATGTCTTTATTTCACCTGTAGCTGTGTGAGGACTTCTCCTACCCTCTCCTCTGCTGCTCTTGTGTTGTGCTCGTACCCCGAAGCGGACGCAGCTCACCTTTAAATAACAAGCTCCTGGATGACAGGCAGATGGTGTGGTACAGTGCTGCACAGTGAAGCCTCTCATTAGACGGTAATAGGCAGCATCGTTTATAACTAAGCACACAGTGACAGTCAGGGCATGTCAATTAGAGTCTGGATATTTTCAGGCAGGCAGGGATGAGTAAACGTCAGTGTGTGTGTGTGTGTGTGTGTGTGTGTGTGTGTGTGTGTGTGTGTGTGTGTGTGTGTGTGAGATGGCGAAGTGAAGGAGCAGGAAAAGAGAAACTAAGACAGACACGTGTTGCGCCCGTCTGCTGCAGCAGAAATAATGCTTGCGGAAGACAAGACACAAAAAGTAGATCTGAAATCACAAAAAAGTCTCATGATATGATCAAATTATGAAATAAATACACAAATTATTAATTAACGAACACAAACAGTCCAAGCCCCTTATATCTCATAATTAAAGAATGAAATGCTGTCTTACCTCAGTGGTAGAACAAGAATGAAACTCCTCATAAAAAAGGGAGGAAAAAGGGAGGAATTCCAGAGAAGGGAGATGCGGGCAACTAACAGGTGGTGAAGAGAGAAGAAGGGAGTAAAGGGAGATGGAGGGAGAAAGGCAGAATGAGCGCTCGGGGTATCATTAAAAAAACAATTGAGTGGTTAGTTCAAGTTGAGACGGAATGAAGAGCAGAGAGGAGCGCAGGAAACTGGAGGGAAAGGAGGAGGTGGGAGGGAGGGAGACGGGAGGAGGAGAGAAAGAGAGAGAAGGAGGGAGAGAGAGAGTCAGTGGGGACTTATTCCTTAACAGTTGTGAATGTGACTGATTTGCTTCGCTTCCTCCTGCAGCATCCTTCTACCATCTCACACACACACACACACACACACACACACACACACACACACACACACACACACACACACACACACACACACACACACACACACACACACACACACACACAAGAAGGTGTTTCACCGGCTTTCATGTATCCCTGAACAGGTGAATCCACCATCGACATGACTACAGGTTAAACCCTGAGGTGGCTGAGCAGCACACTGATGTACAATAAACTGATGAAATCCTAAAGGTCTCCTCAGAGGCAGAGATGTTGCTGCTGTCTGATTGCTCAACTATCGTCTGGCTGATTGTTGATTAATTGGTGTCTCAGACAGATGGAGTCATCTGTGAATTTGTGTGAAGAAACTAGTTAATTTAAACATGTTGCTGTTAGTCTGAGTTCAACCAGAGGTTTCATGGAGAAAAACCTAAACCCAAAGGGCTAAATGGTCAACTCCTAAAAATGATTTGTGGTCAATAATTACAGCTTCACCCAGCCATGCCCAGGACCTAAGGGACCAGAGTCAGGTAATTATATTTACAGCAGTGGGCGGTTCCTGACAAAAACAGTCTCCCATTTAAGTTTGACATATCTGAGAACTGGAAGCTTCCACAGTCGGAGGGATTGTGATAACAAATGCAGCTTTGTGTTTTTTCATATAGTTTCTTCCTATATTTTGTTAACTTTGAGATAAATTTAAGATAAACTTCCCAATATAGACAGTAAATTATGTCATTTCATACTGTTGTGTTACACTATCTGACCCCACAGCTTCGACGGTGTCACAAGATTTTTTTCCATCCAGTGTTGCTGTAAAAGATCTTGTGTTGATGATGGGAAAGAACAACCACTGCTCAAAGCCTTCTTCAGCACATCCCATTGCTCCTCTAATACTATACCATATTTAGAGAGAGAGGAGGGCTACTCAGAGTAGTTTCTGCTTGTTAAATAACAATAGACAGCTATAATGTATAAGCTTGACCCTCCAATACTGCAGTCAGAATTGACAAAGCTGATGAGAAGCAAAATGTCTCCAGAAAACCAAAGAAGTCTAGTTTCCTTCATTTGAACCATTTTGGAAAATAAAGCCCATCACTCCAATGGCTCATTTGGCTTGGGCTGGGTGGAGACAGCCCTCCCCTGCATGGCCAGGTTGTGTTTACATGGCCTTCTCAGGAAAGCAGACATGGCTCTGCTAAAGTGTTACGGATAAGTTCGTAGTGTCATTCCTAAGTAAGCGGGTGTGAGCAGTGTCGCTTTTAGACCCTGAAGTGAAGCACACAGCTTCCTACTCTCAGTGTAAATGCAATGTTCTAGTCTTCTTAGATCTCAGTGCTGCTTTTGGCACAGCTGATCACAATGTTCTTGTAGAAAGGCTTGAACATGTTGTAGGGATCAAAGGAACAGTGCTAGGCTGGTTTAAATCCTACCTGTCTGATATAATTCTTTTGTAAACATACATGACACATCTTCATACACCAGGGTTATTTGTGGAGTACCACAGGGTCCAGTGCTTGGACCAATTCTTTATATATATATATATATATATATATATATATATATATATATATATATATATATATATATATATATATATATATATATATATATATATATATATATATATATATATATGTATATGTGCTTTCAATTGGTAAAATCATTAGACCGCATGGGATAAACTTCCACTGTTATGCTGATGATACTCAGTTATATCTATCCATTAACCCTGATGAACCTAATCAGTAGGCAGATTACAGGCCTGTCTTGATATCTTGATAACATAAATAAATGGATGACTCTAAACTTTCTGCTTTTAAATCAAGACAAGACGGAAGTTCTCATCTTTGGACCTGAAATTCAGAAAAAGAAACTGCTAAGTCAATCACCTGACCTGAACCTCATTAAATTAGTGGCATTTCTAATGCTGCATTATGATTTCTTAGTAAATAATGTATTTAGTAAGAGATCAACTTTATTGTCTTTATCCTATGCACATGTTTATGTACATCCTCTTCCTCCTTGAGTTAACAACCATCTTTGAATGGCACCAATTATTTTCTGAATGCTAATCTGGTTTTTATCACAGTAGATTAAATATAAAGCTAAGTTTTTCTTATAGCTGCCTGAACAAAAAAACTCAACAGCTCACATAAACTGGAGCCTATACCTACCGAGATCCATTCAGTTATAGGGCTGTAGGAAAGGAATTCAACCCCTTAAAAGGTAAGACACTTACACCAATTGTTGCTAATAAAATACATTTTTACTAATACCAAAGGAAGATGTAAAGTTTTTTAGTCTAACTGTAATTTCCTCTTGTTTAACACATGTTATACTCATTCCTACTGCATAGAGGCTTTAGAGCAAATGAAATATAAACAAGTTTTAAAAATACATGGTTGTGTCACACCCTGTCTTGTCTCCCCATTCTGTTCAGTCATGTGTCTCCATGTTAATTGCTCCCACCTGCCTCTCGTTTTCCAATCACCCAAGCTCCCAGCCCTCATGTATTTAAACCCTCTCAGTTCTGTGTGTTTTGTCGGTTCATTGTTTCTATGTCCAGCGTGTTTTATATTAAAGCCTTTGTAAACTCTGTCTGTCTGTCTGTCTGTCTGTCTGTCTGTCTGTCTGTCTGTCTGTCTGCCTGCCTGCCTGCCTGCCTGCCTGTCTGCCTGCCTGCCTTTTCCACCCGCATTTGGATCCTTGCCTCCGCTCACCTCCCCCACACGCCGTGACAGGTTGCTGCTTAAAATCTTAATTTAGCTCAGGCCATAAGGCATGTTAGACTCAGAATTTCTAAAAAGGCAAATGTTTATTTTATGACTTGTGCATATAAACATCTGTAACTAGGTTTCTGTTTTCTGCTCCTCTGCCAACTGTGAATACACCATCACCCTGCATCTACAACATATACAAAATGAAATGAGCTCCTCTTAAACACAATCTGCATGACTGAAAGGCATGAAAATAAAACAAAACACAGTGATGTCACAGCGGAACCTCTGGGAACGAGCCCTGATTATAACCAGTAAGGAGTTTTTCCTCAGGTCAAACTATGACGTTTTCTTAGGGTGCCGGGTATCTGAAGTTATGGTACTGGATTACATGAAACAACTAGGCTGCATGGTGGCGCAGTTGTTAGCACTGTTGCCTCGCAGCACGAAGGTTGCAGGTTCAAAACTCGGCTACGGCCTTTCTGCGTCGAGTTGCGTGTTCTCCCCATGCATGCGTGGGTTTCCTCCGGGTACTCCGGTTTCCCCCACAGATCACAACATGCGTATAGGTTATAAATTGTAAGTCGTTTTGGATAAAAGCGTCTGCCAAATAAATAAACATAAAGATAAACTTTAAGCTGCATGTTTAAAACAACATCAAGAGTCAGAAGGGTAATGTTAAGGGCTGATTAGCAGCTTGTGATTAACTTAGAGTAGATTCTAGATGACAGACATCACCTCAGGGTCACTGAGTGTAGTAACGCAGCGAGTAGGGTGCAAGCCCAAGTCAAAGAACATTGTAATGGTGCAATGAGAGGCAAAGTAACTAACAAGTCCGTTTGCAGCACAATGCCATGACAAACACACAATTCATTATTCTATCAGGACAGAGCAAGGCTGGTCCTTGCTACTCCTTGTTGCTCCTGTTGTTTCTATTTATAATGACCTTGTCATGGTTCTCTGTTATCCTTCATCAGACTTATCTGGCTACCTGCGTGCCATTTTCAGATTTTTTCGATGCAACATCCCAAACCAAAGCTGCACAATGTATAAAGAATTTATTGTAAGGGCAACATCAGAGTGTGCATTATCAATATTGCAAAGGACTGCTTGGACTGCAATAAATCCAAGGCTTTAGATTTCAAGTGCCATTCAGGATCTGAATATATTTGCCCTATCAAATGGATTCTCGCCATTTCTGTTTCTGCACGTGAGTACCTGCTCTTGTTTGTACTGTTAGCAAAATGCGTCACTGATAATCTCCCAGAACGTGATCATTGGATCTATAACTGGTTAACTTTGAGGTACGCGGAAATCCACTAAAGCTAATCAACATTAGCACAGCTAACTGTTTCTCCACTTAAATGATGAGCTAAAATGTTGCATGAGCTCTCGTCATCATCAGGACCACTTTTTACAAATGTACCACAGAAAGCATCCTGACCAGCTGCATCACTGTGTGGTACGGCAGCTGCCCTGCATCCTGTCAGACACCTCTGCAGCAAATAGTGAGGGCACCCTTCAGGACACCACGTGACCCAAAAAGCAGCAAGCATAGCAATGACTCCACCTATCCCTCCAACTGCTTCTTCTATCCCCCGTCCTTCTGGAAGAATTACGAGG